TTATGTTGTGTTATATATGAATTTTAGTAAATGATTTCTTTACCCTTGTTTATATTGTTGATATAGATGTTACTGTAATGTGCTATATAGGTATTCAATTTGAGCAAATTGTTGATGGGCTAGATGGATATGATCTGAATGAATCAGATGATCCTAATGAATCAGATGAGGAATTAGATCATTGTAGTTCTGATACAGAAGAAGGGAGTGATACAGATGAAGTTCAAGGCACAAGAAATGGGGAGGATATAGGTGAGGTGTTGAATGGTATGCCACACAAAGACTATGACTACAATGAGCAAACATTTACTTGCTCAGATTCTGTGAAATGGAAAGACAAATTAGAGTTAGCAATAGGAAAACAATGGCTGACTATGGATGCATGCAGAAAATACATCAGAATGTATGCCATCAAGAATAAATTTGAGATTTATTTTCAGAAGAATTGTGTTGATAAGCTGATATTGAGGTGTAAAGGGGAAAGATGCCCTTGGAGGTGTTATGTTATTAGAAAAAATGATGGGCACACGACTGAACTGAAATCTCTCCAAGAAGAACATACCTGTGAGAATGATGGCAGGAACAAGAATAGAGGAGCAAATGCTAGATGGATTGCTAGTATGCTGGCTCAGGACATGAGGCTGCACCATAAGAGTTACACACCCCAAGATATCATTGCTATAGCTTGGAGTAGGTGGACTTTAAACATTTCATACTGGCAAGCTTGGAATGCTGGGCTGATGGCACTTGAAGAGCTCCATGGAAATTATGAGAAAAGTTATACTCAAGTTCCTGAATTGTGCAGACAGACTGTAGCTTCCAATTCTGGTAGTTTGGTTGAGTGCAAGTATGACTCTGAAAATAAATTTCAGTATTTATGTGTTGCTTTTAGGTGTAGCTTGGAAGGGTGGAGAACTGGGTGCAGGCCACTAGTAGGGTTGGATGGTTGCTTTCTAAAGGGGAAATATAGAGGAGTCTGTCTAGCAGCTATTAGCATGGATGGGAATAATGGGCTCTTTCCGCTAGCAGTCTTCATTTGTAGAAAAGAAGATGGTGAGAACTGGGACAGGTTTCTAGCATTAATAGTTCCGGAGCTGAAGAAACATCCTTTGCCACTTACAGTCACATCTGATAGGGCTCAAGCAATCATAAGTAGTGTTCAGACACATTTGGGAGGCTGCAATCCTAGAAGCTGCTTTAGACACATCTTCAAGAATATGAGTATGTGGTGGAAAGGGGACCACATAAAGGAACTGGCCTGGGCTACTGCTTCAGCATATAAAAAGGTCCACTTTGAAAGAAGTCTTCAGAGATTGGATGAGGCAGCAGTTGGTATCAAGGACTATTTATTGGAGATTGGTCCAGAGTTATGGTCAAGGGCACATTTTGATACAACATGTAAGAGTGACCACCTGACAAATAACTTCACAGAGAGCTATAACAGTTTCATATTAAGCCAAAGGGATAAACCAGTGTGTTCAATGATAATAGGTATATCATTCCTGTTAATGAAGATTATGTATGATAGGAAACTTCAGGCTAGTACTTGGAATGAGAATGATGTGGTTACCTAGGGTTGGTGCAATAATGGCAGCTTATAAGGAGAAGCAAAATGATTATGTGACTTGCCCTTCAGGTGAAGGGACTTTCAGTGTGAGAAAATTTACTGGGGAGCACTGGATTATTAACTTAAACAAACAAGAGTGTGAGTGTTGTGAGTGGCAGGTCACAGGCATACCATGTGTACATGCAGTGCATTTGATCAGCCATTTGAGACTGTCACTACCTCAGTATGTTCCTATTACCTTTACTTTACTTTTTTGTTTAACTTTTTAATTGAAACTCAAAGATTGTTATGTATTTAACTTCATCTTGCTACTTATAGATTTTGTAGTCCATTACTGTGTGTGAAGGCCTACAAAGCATGCTATCAAACAAACATTAAACCAATATCACATGAAAGTGATTGGCCCGAGGTAGTATGACCACAAATCTAAAACCAATATATACATTGATACATTCCAGAATCATTAGTAACCATTATTTTAAAAACTGTGCAGGGAAATGAGGTTCTATTGCCACCTAAGCTTTCAAGAGCCCCCGAGAGACCTAAAAACAATAGAATAAAGGGCCATGATGAGACTGAGACACAATCAATTAGTCAGAAGAAGTGTACTAAGTGTCTATCTTTTGGGCACAACAAGAGGTCATGCCAAGGAGGGCCAGTTGCTAGAGGTGGTGGGAGAGGTGCTACTACTGGGAGGGGTGCTGCAAGGGGTGCTGCAAGGGGTGGTTCAAGGGGTGGTTCAATGGGTGGTTCAAGAGGTGGTTCAAGGGGTGCCGCAAGAGGTGGTTCAAGGGGTGCTGCAAGAGGTGGTTCAAGGGGTGCTGCTAGGGGTGGAAACAGGCCAGGCCAGGCCAGGTTTTCGCCTAAACAGGCCAGGCCTGTTTTAGAAAATATAGGCCTGAGCCTGGCCTGTTACCTGTTAAAGGCCTGTTTTTTCGGCCTGGGCCTGACCTGTTTAAAAGCATGGCCTGGCCTGAAGCCTGTTTACCGGGCCTGTTAAGGAAAAAAATAAAATTTCAAAAAAAATACAAAATGAAAAGTGAAAAATCCTTTTAATCCGGTATAAAATTTATTACCCCAAATATTCACTAAAAAGTCTAATAATACGTTAGTTTTGCTTTGGATGTCTAATAATACATTATTATGGAGTATTATTATGTAGTTTATAAATTTCTATGTACTTTGATTCTTAAAAAACTTTGAATTTCAATTACCTTAATAAACTATTAACACACTTTATATATGTTTAAAAAAGCAGTCTATTCTAATTTATAATACACACTCCCTAAAAATACTATTATACTGATTTGGATATAGTTGAGTATACCAATATAAATATAAATAATACAAATAAATATAAATATAACTAAATACATACACACACACATAAATAGGCTGGCCTGTTAAGGTAAAAAGGCTTTAGAGTTGGGCTAGGCCTGGCCTATTTAAATAAACGGGCTTTTAGAAAAGCCCAAGCCTAGCTTGATACTAAAGAGGCCAGGCCAGGCCAGGCCTTTAACAGGCCCCTGACAGGCCGGCTGGCCTATTTCCACCCCTAGGTGCTGCAAGAGGTGGTTCAAGTGGTGCTGCAAGGGGTGGAGCTAGGGGTGGTTCAAGGGGTGCTACTAGGGGTGGTTCAAGGGCTGGTGCTAGGGTTGGAGCAAGGGGTGGTGCTGGAAGAATAGGTGGTAGTACTACTGCCTACCACCAGTAAGTAGAAATATGAATATTTATTTTTGAAGAGTTGTTGACACAACCAGTGTTTACCACAACTAGTTGTTGCTGCAACCAGTTTTGCTCACTGCACAGTTGCAATATATGTGATCTAACTGGGTTTTTTGCTCCTTGTAAATTCTAGACATGAAGCTCACTCTTTTTGTATAAGTACTAGAGCTAACTATACTTGCTAGAATTAGATAACAACAAAGTATTAACACATTGCACTTGCAGTTTTTTGCTCAATGTAATGTATATAGACCAAAACTACATTATTATATAATGAGTTTGTTACTCATAAGCTGAATTACATCACATACTTGGCCTTCGTATGTTACTTTCCCCCCATCCTGTTCTACAGTCACTTTAACATTATGATATTGCATTGGAATGGTTTTTGTTGCTTCACCTCTTGATGGTGTTTGCTTGTTTGGTACATATGTTGTTATTTCTTTCTGTTTTGGTGAGTCTACCCATTTGAATGCTTGACATTGGGGTTGACCTTTGCATCTTAGGAATCTGCAGCCATTACTTCTTGGTTGTTGAGATGTGTATAGCTCCATGTTGTTTGGGCAGCCCTCTATACAAGGTATGTGTTTATAGGTGCATGACTTCGCCCAATGACCTTGTTCTCCACAATGAAAACACTAAACAATAGAGAATATGTTATACTTATTAGCAAGAAGGAATAAATTTTACAAGTCATACCTTACACCAGCCTGTTCCTCCTTCATGTGCAGCCATATGCTTATTTCGATTCAATACATAGATATTTAGTCCTCAGAAGGATGGTTATTTTATAGGGAGTAATGTGGAAGGGTGGTTACATATTGTTGGGTGAGCATTTATGAGTCATTTATGGTTGGATGTATATATTTATTGAACTTTGACTAGTAAGTATTCAACAACATTACAGGACCACTCCACAGAAGAATCAATGGGTTGTTCACTACTTTAATTTGTGTTGTTGGTTACATTTATGCTCGGTTTTTCCTTTCTTAATTTTTTATTTTGTTGTTATCTTTTTGCTTTATGTTTTTTCTATTTTTTAAATAGGCCTGGGTTTTGAGCTTCATGTTCTGATTTTTCTGGGTTTTCTTTGTGTTCTGAGCTTTATGTTCTGAGATTTGTGTTCCGGGTTTTGTGTTTCAGTCAGTTTGGGTTATTTAGCCTAGGTTTTGTGTGCTTTAGTGTGCATTTCAGTTTGTTTTTTTTTTTTTTTTTTTTTTTTTTTTTTCTTTCCAGTTTGTGCATTTCAGTCAGTTTGGGTTATTTAGCCTAGGTTTTGTGTGCTTAGTGTGCATTTCAGTTTGGGTTATTTAGCATGGTTTTCCTGTGCTTACTGTAATTTCAGTTTGGGGTTTTTAGCATGGCTTTTGTGTGCTTAGTGTGCATCAGTTTGGGTTATTTAGCTTTTGCATTTGAGTTTCACTTTTGTAGCATGGCTTCAGTGTTTATAAAGGAGCAGATGGGAGAAAAAATGAGAGCTGAACTGGGAAATTCGTATTCTGTGAAGCTGCAGCCAGGAGGGTATTAATGGCATTTACTTTTTTTTGAATGCTAACTAACAGACCCGGTTAACTTAGGGTGTAAAGGCTAAGGATTTTAAAATTAGGGTGCACAGACTAATTAGGGGTATAAAACAGGGTGCAAAGTCTAAATAACCCTTTTTGAAATTTAAAAGTGAAAAAGTGAAAGTCTATAAATGAAAAGTAAATTCTGAGGAGACGTAAACAAAATGCAATTAGAAAACATGGACTTTGTCACGCCCCGGACCTATCCGGACACGTCAACAACCCGCCGTACAATACGAATAGTCAACCGCAGTCCAACACATTCATATTACACAAGGCGTCTTGAATATCATTCACACATATACATCCATAAACAAACATAATAAGTAATTCGTAACGCAGCGGAAAACATTGTTTAAAACAAAAGGGGCCACACAGGGCTATTCATGAGCACGCAGGCTGTATAGTAAAATATCCATGAGCAAATTTATTAATGTTTCAAATAGAATGGAGGAAGCACGAACCAAGTCTTCTCTCCTAGGAATCACTCGATCAACGAGCACAGGATGCAAGCTCTAGCCTCAACCTGAAATGGTGGTGGGACGCCCCCGAAGGGGTCAGTACTCTATACGGCTATAAAGTACTGGTGTGGCAGGCATCTAATAGATATACAACAAGTATTTCACACACAAGACCCTCAAATAGGGTGATAATATAGTTTAGGCTGTAATCCCAAATTACCCCTTCAAAATATATACTTACTTTATATAAAGTCAAGTAGTCGGCTCATAGGCCCATGTTTATCACAAAACATTTCCCAAACCCCGTGACTAATGGTCACGACATACATAGGGTCCAACCCTAATATAACTTCTCATTTTTAGAGTTCGGCTCGAGTACATCATCATGCACTCGCATCATAGATCTCCTACTTCATGTAATCATATCATAGATCTCCTACTTCATGTAATCATATCATAGATCTCCTACTTCATAAAATCACACCATAGATCTCCTACTTCATAAAATCACACCATAGATCTCCTACTTCATAAAATCACACCATAGATCTCCTACTCCATGATTTCACAATTGACACTTGAATCTCATTCAAGTTCATCACAAACAAACTCAAACCTTAAGTTTGATTCTAACACATTTAGGACAATCCTTAACTAGCATCACAATACTATTAAGATTATTTCTACAACTCATTTATCATTAATGGTAGCTCCTCCATATCAATAGATATGTGGCAGCCTCCCATGTGTCAAGCATCATCATGCAAATATACATTTACATACACATCACATTCATACATTTGTTGGAAAGGTCAATTTACCATATTAGCATACCTCTATCTCACATGACTCCATATTCTTCAATATGGTTTCAATTCATGATCAAGTCCATTACTTATCATTCATATCATGTTCAAGCATATTTATTCACAAAAACATGATTTAAACATTTAGGTAATCTCATGCATAACCTACAAGTTGTAAGCAACTAGATGTCGGTCCTCACCTCAAATGAGCTTTAAAACTTTCCTTCTCGATCCAATGACCAAAGCCTCGGCCAAGGAAGATTGAGGACTGATTCCTTGCTTGGAATTGAGTGTTAAACAGCCTCTTCAAAGTGCTAGTTCAACTCCTAACCGAAGACACACAAAACAGTCCCTAGAACGGGTGTTTCCCGACGAAATCGTTCCCTAACCTTTCAAGGTTTTGTCTAGATTAGTATCTAACTTTTCCAACAATTAAAGTCACTTTATAATAACATTTTATACACTTCAATCAGTGTATAATAGTTCTTCAATCATTTATATGGTTTAGACAATAGAGAGGAAGGTTTTGGATTCAAACTTACTTTGAATACAAAAACGTATTCTGCGAGGTCGTGTTTTGCTCGGTCTATTTGGAAGCCTTCCACTACTCCGATTGATGCAAACCAGACCTTCACGGATTCCTAGTCTTGAGAGCTTTCTGTTGGTATCTCGCACGCCTTATTTGGATGAGTAAATCTCAATTTATGGCTCAAACAATCAGAGCTACGCACTGAAGAACGAACCTGCGGACAGCTCTCCTCCTTCCTTCTCTCTTGGGTTGTGTGGATTCCATTGCTCTCTTATCTCTTTGGGGGTTCGAATGGGGTGTAGGGGGAGTGTATTAGGAGAGCCTAAACATGCTAAAAGAGTATGTGGCTCACAAAAGAACATGGGATATATTTGGTTTGCAATCAAATATGGGGTGGACCTCCCCCTTTTGTTTTCTCTTGGAGTTTTTGTGCATGTGAGCCAAGAGTCCGCCCCATATAGTCTTCTCACCTCTTTTCATTTGTTTTGAAGGTACTAAGTCCATGTGGAATGGTTCCCAATTGATTCCATTCAACTTGGAATCCAAAATATCTACCAATACTTCCAAAAATGGGAAGATGGGTCCTATTGTTTTATCTTTTGTCAAAGATGCCTTTTTGTACTCATCCTAATTTATTTAGAACAAGTCAACTTCCTTCATCACATTATTGATCTCCAATATGTGTAGGTTCATCTCAATAATTTACTTGATGGGTATCATAGAAGAAAAATCCTACTCTCATTATTTAGCTCAATAATGCCAAAGATGGGGCTATAGGCATTTGTATTCCTCTCTAATCATTTTATCACTTATTTTGACATTAGTCATACATATTGGGCTACTAGCCATGTGGGTCACTCCCGAATGGGTCTAGGACGCCATTCTCGTATACTTGCTATTTTTAGCAGGTTGGGCTCAAAATAACGTTTGGGCCGCCCGACCTTCCTCGACTTGTCTTGAAAGACCACGTAACACTATTAGGAATTTTGGGCTCTTATGTTCATTAATAAGGCCCGAATAAGTATTTGCAAAACCCGACACTAATATACGAGTTTGAACAGTACGATATTCAATCATGCACTACGTAAACATTAATCGTTTTACAATTGCTCGGAAATTCAATACATAAGCTTGGAATTTAAATTGAATTTTCAAGGACGTTCGGGTGCGGTGTCACAAGTTCACCCCCCCTTAACAGGAATTTCGTCCCCGAAATTCACAGCTCTACTCGAATAGAGAAGCATACTGCTTCCTCATCAAAGCCTCTGTTTCCCATGTCTCTTCTTCGACCCGATCGCTCTTCCAAAGGACTTTAACCATTGGGACTTCTTTGCTCCTCAGTTTCTTCACCTTTCTATCGGTGACCTTGATAGGTTGCACATCGTAGTTCAAATCCTCACGTACCTCTACAGGTGGTTTCTCCAATACGTGAGAGGGATCATGCACATACTTCTTAAGCATGGATACATGAAATACATTATGTATCTTCTCTAATTCAGGAGTTAACTGCAGACGATATGCTACGGCCCCAATCCTTTCTATAATTCTGAATGGACCTATGTATCGTGGATTAAGCTTTCCTCGGGTTTGGAATCGTATGATTCCTTTCCAAGGAGAAACTTTCAAGAATACCTCGTCATCAACCTTAAACTCTAAGGTTCTCCGACGCTTATCTGCATAACTCTTTTGTCGATCCTGAGCCGCCTTGAGTCTCTCTCGAATCAACTTCACCTTTGATTTGGTGACCTCAACCAACTCAGTACCCTCGAGTTTGGCTATGCCAACCTCGTCCCAGCATAACGGTGTACGGCACCTTCTCCCATACAATGCCTCGTATGGAGGCATGCCGATGCTTGCCTGATAACTGTTGTTATAGGCAAACTCCACAAGTGCTAAGTGGTTATCCCAACTTCCTTGGAACTCCAATGCACAAGCCCTCAGCATGTCTTCCAAGATCTGTATGACTCTTTCAGACTGTCCATCCGTCTGTGGGTGGAAAGCAGTACTGAACTTCAACCTCGTTCCCATAGACTCCTGAAATTTCAACCAAAAACGTGATGTGAATCGTGGGTCTCTATCGGATACAATGGTCACTGGAACCCCATGTAGCCTCACGATCTCATCTGTGTACAATTTGGCTAACCTCTCAAGTGGGTAGGTAGTGTTGATAGGTAAGAAGTGGGCACTCTTCGTGAGCCTATCTACCACAACCCAAACTGCATCATAGTTCCTTATTGTCCGTGGTAAACCTACCACAAAATCCATAGTCACGTGTTCCCACTTCCATTCAGGAATGGAAAGTGGTTGCAATAAGCCTGATGGATGCTGATGCTCTGCCTTAACTTGTTGACAAGTAAGGCATCGACTGATATATTCGGCTATTTCTCTCTTCATACCCGACCACCAGTAACTCTCCTTCAAGTCACGGTACATCTTCGTGCCTCCCGGGTGCATGGCATAAGCCGATGAATGAGCTTCCTCTAGGATGGACTTTCGGAGCTCATCATCTGCCGGTACACATACTCGGTCACGAAATAATAAGAGACGGTCATCTCTTTCTCTGAAGTCCTCCACCGGTCCCGCTTGCATGCGTCCCCGGATCTTCATAATTTCTTCGTCAGTTTCCTGGCCCTTCTTGATCTCATCAAGCAAGGTAGGTCTCACCTCAAATCGTGCCAATAAGGCACCATCACTAGATACCTCCAGTTGGGCTCTTAATGCCCTCAAATTAGCTATCAATGCCCCAGACGAGCTCTTCCGGCTCAAGGCATCTGCCACCACGTTTGCCTTGCCTGGGTGATACTCTATCACTAAATGGTAGTCTTTTATCAACTCCATCCACCGTCTCTGCCTCATGTTTAGCTCTTTCTGAGTAAACACGTATTTCAAGCTCTTGTGATCAGTGTATATGTGACATGTCTCCCCGTAGAGATAATGTCTCCATATCTTCAGTGCAAACACCACTGCCCCCAGCTCCAAATCATGAGTAGGATAATTCACCTCATGCTTCTTCAGCTGTCGTGAGGCATAGGCGATTACCCTCCCATTCTGCATCAGTACACATCCAAGCCCTTGGATGCTCGCATCGCTATAGACATCGTACCCCACACCCTGTTTGGGTAATGCAAGTACCGGTGCCTCGGTCAATCTCTTCTTTAGTTCCATGAACCCTTTCTCACATTTGTCATCCCATACAAACTTAGCTCCTTTACGAGTGAGCTTCGTCAATGGTGATGCCAAAACAGAGAACTTCTCCACGAACTTTCTGTAGTAGCCTGCCAATCCAAGGAAACTACGAATTTCCTTGACGTTCTTTGGCCTCTCCCATTCAGTAATGGCTTCTATCTTCTTGTTATCAACAGCAATTCCCGATCCTGAAACCACGTGCCCGAGGAAGCCAATCTCCTTTAGCCAAAATTCACACTTAGAAAATTTGGCATAGAGTTGCTTCTCCCGTAGTGTCTCAAGAACGAGTATCAAGTGCTCTTCATGTTCTTCCTCACTCTTTGAGTAAATCAAGATGTCATCTATGAACACAATTACGAATCGGTCCAGGTACTTATGAAATACTCGGTTCATCAAGTCCATGAATGCCGCCGGGGCGTTTGTTAACCCAGACGACATAACAAGGAATTCAAAATGCCCATACCTTGTGCGGAAAGCACTCTTTGGTATGTCATCTTCCTTAATCTTCAATTGATGGTACCCCGACCTCAAGTCAATCTTCGAAAACACGGTTGCTCCTCGTAGTTGATCAAACAAGTCGTCAATCCTAGGCAAAGGATACCTATTCTTGATTGTGACCTTGTTCAGTTGACGATAGTCAATGCACATTCGAAGTGTCCCATCTTTCTTTTTCACAAAAAGAACCGGTGCTCCCCACGGGGAGTGGCTTGGTCTAATGAAACCATTATCCAAAAGCTCTTGCAATTGGGTTTTCAACTCGTTAAGTTCAGCGGGTGCCATACGGTATGGCGGTATGGAGATTGGTTTGGTGCCGGGCTCGACCTCGATCACAAATTCAATCTCCCTATCAGGTGGAAGCCCCGGTAGGTCTTTAGGAAAGACATCCGGATACTTACAAACCACCCTCACATCATCGATGTTCGTTTCCTCTTTGGTTTTGTCGACCACGTATGCTAGATATGCGTGGCATCCCTTTCTCATCATACTTCTCGCTCTCACGGCGGATATGATACAGCTATTTGATCTCCCTCGATCGCCCTCGAAGCGTAGGGTCTCCCCATCATTGCCTTCGAGTTCAAGAACCTTTGTGTAGCAATCTACCCTAGCATGGTTCTTTTCTAGCCAATCCATCCCTAGGATTGCATCGAATTCAATCATGCTCAGCGGTACGAAGTCACACGTCAAGGTTTGACCATTAACTTCCACTCCACAAGATGGATAGTAACAAGTTCTTTCCACGTCATCCCCTAGTGGTGTTGATACCACTAAGGTTTGCATCAATGGTGCGGATTGCACTTCCAATCTCTTGGCGAACGCTTCATTCACAAATGAACGTTGCGCCCCGGTATCGATAAGGATTCGCGCATCCTTCCCATTAATCTTTAGTGTCCCTACATTCATGAACCATGTAAGACATCTTTCCTACCCTCCCTACTCATTTATAGAAGGTTACAATGTTCACACGCACGTTAGGGATCAAGAAAAGGTCTTAACGTCGCAAAACGGTGCGAAAAATCGCACTCCGGCAATCTGGGTGCCAGGCACGGCGTGCCTGGGGTAGGCACGACCGTGCCTGGGTCGGGGAAACGCGCAGGCAGCTACTGCCTTGTAGGCACGATCGTGCGTGCCTTAGGCACGACCGTGCCTGGGCAAAATCAGCCCGAAATGATCCGAAATCCTCCCGGTTCGACCCTAAAGCTTCGTGCAACGATCCTAACAATTAGTAACCTCAATTTATGGACTAATTAAGGATAAAACACTAGTATACGAGGGGCAATACCTGCAACGGAATCCGGGTTAGCTTGAGCATCCGCCTCCGTCATCGCGTAGACCCTAGCCTGGGTCCTTCCTTGGTTCACGGATGGCGCGTTGCTCGCGCTTGCTCCCCCTTGCCCCCTGGTTACTTGGGAACCCCCGGCTTGGTTTCTTGTTCCCGTAGCCCTGCTACTTGGTCCCGATGACCTTGGCCCACCCAATTGTGGGCAATGCGCCTTCAAATGCCCGGTGTTCCCGCATTGGAAGCATCTAGGAGGTTCACGGCATTTTCTGAGGTGACTCTTCTTGCAATTCAAGCAACGAGGCGTCCCCGAGACTTGTGACCCCGAGTCATGCCTTCTCGGGCCTTGGTTCCCCCTAGATGGTAGCGGCGGTGCACGGAAAGATCCTCCTCCATGGTTTCCCTTTTTGTTGGAACCTTGGGAGCCATGACTCTCCCACTTTCTCTTTTTCGCCTCCTCGGCGTCTCTCTTCTTCCTTTCCTCCCATTGTTTCTCTCCTTTCAACCCCTGCTCGACCACCTGGCTAAAGGTCATGTTAGGCAACTGTGTTGCCCTCTCACGCACCTCCAAGTCTAAGGCATCCCAGAAGTGATTTACCATCCGGTTCTCATCACAGACATACTCCGGTATGAACTCCGCGAGCTCCCTGAATTTGTGTTCAAGTTGCCTCACCGTCATTTTGCCACCTTGGGTCAGGAGGGTATACTCTCTCCTCTTGGCGTTCACCTCAAAATCAGAATAGTACTGGGCAAAGAACTCCTGTCGGAAATTCTCCCAAGTCACGGTATTGCCATACTTTCCCTTGGCTCCGTCCCACCATGTGGATGCCATCCCTTCGAGCAATCTCACCGCCACCCTTAGTTTAAATTCGGGGGTAAGTTGCATATCAAGGGCTGCTTCGTTCAACCTCTTGATCCATTCCGCGGCGACCGAGATGTCGCCTGCTCCGTTGAAGGGCTTGCACCCCAAGTCTCTCGCCCCTTTGAGAAATTTGGAGATCCTTATGATTGGACCCCCATCACCCCGGCCCCCATGTGGTTCAATGTGGGCCCTAGAGTCGCCATGGCTTCTTCCTCTTGAAGCCCCACCCGAAGTTCGCCCTTTCCGGCGCCTTCGGCGTTCCCTCCTTTCCTCGCGCTCCTGCTGATATTGCTGGAGCAGCGCCTCTATTCTTGCTAGGGAGTCATTCTCCCCTTCTTCATCACTTATATCGTCGTCATCCCCTTCGTAAGGGGTCTCAACCGGCTCGGTTTCCGGTTGGTAAGTCGAGTCCTCATAGGACCAGTAGGTTTCACTTTCTGTGTCGACATGACCGTCACTCACGGTCTGTGATCGGCCCCCACGGCCCGCCCCTCTAGATGCCCTAGAGGTCCTTCGACTGCCCTGTCCAGTCTCCACTGGTACACGGCCGGTCGGGTTTCTCCTAGTAATCCTGCCACCCACGGTCCATTTCTGAAAGAAATTCGGAAAGAGTCATTAGACTCGTATCAAATGTCAATTGACGGATAGGTACTTAAGACACATTTTGGCTCGAGTCACCGCCATACCAATTGCTAAGGGTACCATCTTAACAATTAGAGACCTTGCAACCCAAGTGCCAAAAGCTCTCCAAGTACAAAACTTCTATGCTCATGGTTTTCAGTTTTTTTTTTCTTTTTCAAAAAAGAGGATTTTGAGACTTCATTATGAAGTTTATGGACTAAGGCTCTGATACCAACTTAATTGTCACGCCCCGGACCTATCCGGACACGTCAACAACCCGCCGTACAATACGAATAGTCAACCGCAGTCCAACACATTCATATTACACAAGGCGTCTTGAATATCATTCACACATATACATCCATAAACAAACATAATAAGTAATTCGTAACGCAGCGGAAAACATTGTTTAAAACAAAAGGGGCCACACAGGGCTATTCATGAGCACGCAGGCTCTATAGTAAAATATCCATGAGTAAATTTATTAATGTTTCAAATAGAATGGAGGAAGCACGAACCAAGTCTTCTCTCCTAGGAATCACTCGATCAACGAGCACAGGATGCAAGCTCTAACCTCAACCTGAAATGGTGGTGGGACGCCCCCGAAGGGGTCAGTACTCTATACGGCTATAAAGTACTGGTGTGGCAGGCATCTAATAGATATACAACAAGTATTTCACACACAAGACCCTCAAATAGGGTGATAATATAGTTTAGGCTGTAATCCCAAATTACCCCTTCAAAATATATACTTACTTTATATAAAGTCAAGTAGTCGGCTCATAGGCCCATGTTTATCACAAAACATTTCCCAAACTCCGTGACTAATGGTCACGACATACATAGGGTCCAACCCTAATATAACTTCTCATTTTTAGAGTTCGGCTCGAGTACATCATCATGCACTCGCATCATAGATCTCCTACTTCATGTAATCATATCATAGATCTCCTACTTCATAAAATCACACCATAGATCTCCTACTTCATAAAATCACACCATAGATCTCCTACTTCATAAAATCACACCATAGATCTCCTACTCCATGATTTCACAATTGACACTTGAATCTCATTCAAGTTCATCACAAACAAACTCAAACCTTAAGTTTGATTCTAACACATTTAGGACAATCCTTAACTAGCATCACAATACTATTAAGATTATTCCTACAACTCATTTATCATTAATGGTAGCTCCTCCATATCAATAGATATGTGGCAGCCTCCCATGTGTCAAGCATCATCATGCAAATATACATTTACATACACATCACATTCATACATTTGTTGGAAAGGTCAATTTACCATATTAGCATACCTCTATCTCACATGACTCCATATTCTTCAATATGGTTTCAATTCATGATCAAGTCCATTACTTATCATTCATATCATGTTCAAGCATATTTATTCACAAAAACATGATTTAAACATTTAGGTAATCTCATGCATAACCTACAAGTTGTAAGCAACTAGATGTCGGTCCTCACCTCAAATGAGCTTTAAAACTTTCCTTCTCGATCCAATGACCAAAGCCTCGGCCAAGGAAGATTGAGGAATGATTCCTTGCTTGGAATTGAGTGTTAAACAGCCTCTTCAAAGTGCTAGTTCAACTCCTAACCGAAGACACACAAAACAGTCCCTAGAACGGGTGTTTCCCGACGAAATCGTTCCCTAACCTTTCAAGGTTTTGTCTAGATTAGTATCTAACTTTTCCAACAATTAAAGTCACTTTATAATAACATTTTATACACTTCAATAAGTGTATAATAGTTCTTCAATCATTTATATGGTTTAGACAATAGAGAGGAAGGTTTTGGATTCAAACTTACTTTGAATACAAAAACGTATTCTGCGAGGTCGTGTTTTGCTCGGTCTATTTGGAAGCCTTCCACTACTCCGATTGATGCAAACCAGACCTTAACGGATTCCTAGTCTTGAGAGCTTTCTGTTGGTATCTCGCACGCCTTATTTGGATGAGTAAATCTCAATTTATGGCTCAAACAATCAGAGCTACGCACTGAAGAACGAACCTGCGGACAGCTCTCCTCCTTCCTTCTCTCTTGGGTTGTGTGGATTCCCTTGCTCTCTTATCTCTTTGGGGGTTCGAATGGGGTGTAGGGGGAGTGTATTAGGAGACCCTAAACATGCTAAAAGAGTATGTGGCTCACAAAAGAACATGGGAGATATTTGGTTTGCAATCAAATATGGGGTGGACCTCTCCCTTTTGTTTTCTCTTGGAGTTTTTGTGCATGTGAGCCAAGAGTCCGCCCCATATAGTCTTCCCACCTCTTTTCATTTGTTTTGCAGGTACTAAGTCCATGTGGAATGGTTCCCAATTGATCCCATTCAACTTGGAATCCAAAATATCTACCAATACTTCCAAAAATGGGAAGATGGGTCCTATTGTTTTATCTTTTGTCAAAGATGCCTTTTTGTACTCATCCTAATTTATTTAGAACAAGTCAACTTCCTTCATCACATTATTGATCTCCAATATGTGTAGGTTCATCTCAATAATTTACTTGATGGGTATCATAGAAGAAAAATCCTACTCTCATTATTTAGCTCAATAATGCCAAAGATGGGGCTATAGGCATTTGTATTCCTCTCTAATCATTTTATCACTTATTTTGACATTAGTCATACATATTGGGCTACTAGCCATGTGGGTCACTCCCGAATGGGTCTAGGACGCCATTCTCGTATACTTGCTATTTTTAGCAGGTTGGGCTCAAAATAACGTTTGGGCCGCCCGACCTTCCTCGACTTGTCTTGAAAGACCACGTAACACTATTAGGAATTTTGGGCTCTTATGTTCATTAATAAGGCCCGAATAAGTATTTGCAAAACCCGACACTAATATACGAGTTTGAACAGTACGATATTCAATCATGCACTACGTAAACATTAATCGTTTTACAATTGCTCGGAAATTCAATACATAAGCTTGGAATTTAAATTGAATTTTCAAGAACGTTCGGGTGCGGTGTCACAGACTTCACGGGATATTTCCACTTAATATAATTGGTTCAAGTGGGAAAATGCCCATTATAAACTAAAGTTTGGGTAGGAGACTGGAGAGTACTACTGTCATGGCAGCCCAACACGCAAGCCTATTCCCAATTCCCTAGTAATATTTTTTTTTGAAAGAAACCACATTTTATTAAAAGGATTGAAGACAATTCCCTAGTAATAGTAATACTACGTAATTAATAAGGAATTTATTAAACAAATAAATACATCTCAACGACTCAACCCATAAGAGACCACCGAGCAGGGGCGGAGTTAGAGCACTAGGCCGCACTGGGCCGATACAAAGATTATTTTTTGAAAATTTTTTACACGGAATTTTTTACACTAAAAATACAGACATTTTTAAAATTTGGGCTGGGCCAGGGCCAGGGATGGCCCTCCCCTAGCTCCGCCCATGCCACCGAGTACATGGCAAATTAGATCGTGGGATCGGCACACCATGCACATGATGTACCGATCTCAATACAACACCGTTTCTTTAATTAAAAACAACGTAGTCAAATATTCTTCTCACGTTTGACCAGCTTTTATTCTCCGATCCGTCAATCCATTTTTTTCTCCAACACCATACCGTTTTCACGCACAACTTCCTTCCCCCAGTTTTTTTCTTCTTTGCACAATTTTTTTAATACAAAGAATTGAAAGTTCGAATGTTGAAATCGAGTAGCCATGCTTCCAGTTTTCCACGATCTTTCCCTTCCCTGCTTTCACTTCGTTTTCCATTGTAATGCTTTCTTATATGATTCTCTTTCTTCTTTTTTACTTGTTTTCATTTTCATTTATCTTCATCCCATTATTAAAATATTAAAATGTGATTACAATTATATTTTTCTACAATTTTTTTATGTGAAATAATTTCTTATCTCTTTTATATGTTTTCTGTGACACCACTCCCGATTGAACTTGGATTATTTATCCATTAAAATTAAAACTCAATTAAACTATAAATAGTACTAATACAAACAAGAATGATTAGTATAATTAATGAGTATAATATTATTTTTGAAACAAGTTACTAGCTATATTAATCATGTGAGAAGTGATTAATTGATTTAATTAACAGTGATTAATTAAATGTTGTATCGACCCCGAAATATGGGGAATGACTAACTAATATGTTCTTGACCCATATTATTTAGGAAAAATTGATGCTAATAATCCGATCTTTAATTCATCTTCTAAAAACAGTCCCAACTAATCATAATCTAAAATAAATCCGACCTTTACCTCTCATTGGCTATTTTTGGTCCCAAACTTGTTGTATACGGATTGTAGCCAGTGAAATCAAAACATGTTGTATTCTCTCTCCTTCCACTTACGTATCTCCTTCAACGAGCACCTATCTATCTTGAACTTCCTAGTTTCCACTTATTCTTCTTAATCAAACCTGTTCCTATGCCCTGCTCCCACCACATAAAGACAACAACACGGAGAAATATAAACACATACTTGAAACTTGAAAGCATGTGTACACAGAAACACGAAGAAATATCCCAATTTCCAAAAGCTCTTAATCGTCCTCTGCAATGCTCAATTCCGCTATGAGAGTGCTCTTGTAATCAAACAATGAGAATTTAGTTTTTTTTTGGAAAAACAATGAGAATTTAGTTAAATCTCTAAAAATAAAACTCATGTCAAGTTGGAAAATATAAAAAATTTATTCACTCAATCATTGAATCATAAACCCTCCACACAAAAATAAAAATCATAAATGAATATTTCAAGATTGGAGAAAAAAAATATTGTTGAAAATTGAAGAGTCAAACCTTTTCTAAAACCTCCTTTCCGTGGAGCTGGTAATAGGATAATTTGATGATATTATATGATGCAGATCTAGTTTTTGTTTTTGGATGAACAATGCAGATCTAGTTTGTGATTTGCAGGATGGGAAGAAAAGTAGGGATTAAAGTACGGAAGTAATAATAATAATAATAACAATCATAATTATAAGATAATAATATACTCCGTAAATAATTAACTAGTAATATAATAATTAATAGGCAGATTACTCCATCGGGTAACAAGTATGAAACAAACTAATTGCATTTGACTTGTTTAAGAGGTACCAGGTTACCACGGTCCAATATGAGAAGACATGTCATAAAGATTGGATTATTTTCAGATTAATCTAAAGTGGGATTGTTTTAAGAAGATAGGATAAAGGTGATATTATTAGCATCAATTTTTCCTATTATTTATTTAATATGCCAAGAACAATGGAAGGATTAATATATAGAAATATGAGCCAAAATAATAGGGAAGAAGTAACCCAAAGTGATTGAGCCGAACTTACTAATAATAGAAATATAGCGCGTATCGGGCTTGGATTATTGGGAGGACTAACCAATATATTTTGGGTCCAACCTATTAATATTTAATAGCCCAATATAATATAAATCAAAGTTTATATCTCGTTTGGGCCGAATTAAAATGGGATGGGCAGCCCAAGAGACCCATAGCCCAACTTTCCTAAATTAGAAGGATAAGAGGGAATAGACCATTGTCCTCCTCCCATTTGTGGAGGAAACATGAGCTAGCAGTAACAAGCTTCTAAGGACAAGGAGAAAAGGGGAGAAGAAAGAAAAGGAATCCCTGAGAAGAAGAACGTGAGCTAGCGGTAACAACTCTAGACTCTCGGTTCCATTTCTTCCATTTATACATTCCATATACATGGATTCATTTGATGGATTATAGATGTTGTTCTACATGTTAAAAGTGTAGAATATTGATATAAAGTGATGGTATTTAAATTAGAAGAGTCGTGGAATCGATGAAGTTGAAACCGCCGGAAACCGCCATTGTTGGGGACTATGTTCGAGCTGCGGGCCCGAAAGCCGCCTACCTTTTGCAAAAGCCGCTTGACTTTTGGCTTCTGTCCAGCTGGTTCTTTTTTTCGGTCCAGAACGGGGGATAACCGAAAGGCTTCACAAAGGCAGCTAGTTAAGCACATCATAAGGTGATGATGACTGACTATATTGTTTATAACTAGTGAGTTAATTCATCAGATTACCCAATTTATAAAAGCATGATTTTAATTAATCATTATGCCTAATAAAATGTCAATTGATCATATTGTTGTATATGAAGAGTTAATGCATGATTGGTTGAACTACGAGTAATTGGAGCATGATTACTTGCTATATTTGAAATGTTGTTGTTCTAGTTGATTTAGTGATGAACTAATAAAATGATTTATTAATCACTATTTAATTGTATTGACTTTATGGTTAGTAAAGTCAATATGGAATGAATTGAGAATGAGTCATGGCGTGGCTGCCATGCTCGTTTGAAAGGGAAAGACAAATAAAACTAAGAATAACTCGGGTAGTACTAAGTGACTAGCCCGAGGTTGTAGCTAGTATGAACATTGATAAAATTGATCTTGAGTTTAGGATTGTGATGCTTTGTTACTAGGGTATTCACTTGGGATAGCCTTAGATGATTTAAATGTTATATTGATCCTAGAATTGGATTGTTGATGTTATTTTTCGGGTGATCTTTGGGATACCCGTAATTGATTGTTTGATTGGTAGCAAGGCCCATGGCTTGGCTCTAGTCTAAGGATAGATGTCCGACCACATGAACTTGCTAAAGGATAGATGAGGCTCATGGGTCGGTCGAGTCAAAGGATCGTACCCGACTGCATGGACTCGTAATAGAATAAATTTAAGGACCATGACCCTGCCTGACTCTAGAGAGTGTGTTGGATATCATGGACTTACGGCGTGATCACATATAGGAGTGAAATCCGAATCGAAGACCTAGCGAGGCCCCGACAGTGGTAACACATAAGATAGGACCCCGAATGGGCCTTTCCTTCCCACGGGAACAAGGTATGAGTCCAGGGGGCAGGATGGTGGACTTCGACCAAGTGCCCCGCGGGGACTTCAATAACGGTGACTGGTCCTGTATGATTGATGTGACATTTGGGTTGAATTGTATGAATTATTAATGTAATGAATTATCACAGGACGATACAAATTGTATTGTTAAATACAAATGAGCCAATAAATTATCGTTGGGCGATACAAAGGGTTTGTGACAAGTACAAATGGGCCTATGAGCCGACTATTTGACTTTATATACTTATGTATGATGATTTGAAAGGGGTAACTATAGGTTATTTCCTAGAATGTGATATCATCCTATGTTGAGGGTCTTAAGGATTGAAACACTAATTACATGCAGTATAGTTGTCATTGTACATTTCAAATCTTTCAAACTCGTACTGACCTCCCCTTTACGGGGGAGGCCACCTCACAGTTTCAGGTAGAAGTTTGAGTTTGCTATCAGTGCCCATTGCTTTGGGAAGATCTTGGAGGGAAGACTTGGTTCGTGCTTCCTCCGTTTATGTTTTCAAAGCGATTACAATAATGCTCATGGATAATAATTTCTGATAAACTATTTGGGGGCTTGTATGCCTAACTTTGCCAAATGTTGCTTGAGCACTTGTAATATTGTTTCCGCTGCTTTAATGAATATTTTACATTATGTTTATTTATGGATGTACTACGTGTGAATGATATTCATGACGCCTAGTATAATATGAATATGCTTGACTGAGGTTGACTATTCGTACTGTACGACGGATTGTTGACATGTACGGGTAGGTCCGGGGCGTGACATTTCCAGTTTTTTTTTTAATGCATTGAGTTTGTTAATTTTTTATTTACATTTGATAAAAACATGTGATTGCATTTTCAAGTGTGCGATTTACATTTAATAAAATAGGTGATTACATTTTCAAGTGTGCGATTTACACTCATACATGATTCCTGAAGTTATATTTGATACTACATGGAGTTACATCTTCTTATGCGCGAGTTACATATTTTTATGCGCGAGTTACATGTAATTATGCGTGAGTTACATCTAATTATTTGTGATCTTATCTTTATCTTTAACTAATTAAGTTATAACTGAATTAATTGTTTTTTACCGATTTATTACAAAGTTTTATTAATCCACATAAAATAAGTATATTATATTTCACAATCATACACTATTTCTTACTTTGTGTACTTTTTTAAAACAATTATATATTATACACCTTTTTTGTAAAATATTTTTTATATTCATACATTTTTTCTATAATATATTTCTTATCTCTTTTATATGTTTTTTTGTGTTTTATAGACATTAAGTTTGTTTATTTTGATTTAAATTTGAAAAACATGAGAATACATTTTTCATATGTGTGAGTTATGTTTATAGACAAATTCTATAGTTACATCTGATATTATATGAAGTTACATCTTCTTATATATGCACGAGTTACATCTTCTTGTGCGTGAGTTACATATTTCTATGCGCGAGTTACGTCTGAGCTTGCTTCAACATGAAACGTTTTGTATATACCAAAGTTAGATTTTCAATCAACGCGAGTTACATTTTTTCATAATACGAATTACATGACAACATAAAGCCTACTATTGAAATAAAAGAATCATTGTTTTGCAAAAAAAACGTTATTGTTTTCCACATAAATACGATTTTTTGGCCATTTTTTTTTAAATTCTATGGCCTTAGTATTAAAAAAAATATTCACTATTTAAGCTAACCCCGCTATTGAAACAAAGAAATCACTTATTTTTGCAAAAAAATGACTTTTTTTTTGGCGAAAATATGATTTTTTGGCAAAAAGAGATAAAAATATTTTTATGGCCTTAATGTGAAAACATAACATATTAACTATTTATGTAAAACAATTGAGCAATTAGACTCCTTTTTTCACTAAAATCAATGTTTTATTTCTTATAATCCGTATCAGACAAGTTACATTTCGAATTGCTTACAATTACATTTTTTTATTAGCGTGGGTTATAGTTTGTTACACGCGAGTTACACCCATTCTGCTACTAAGACAATGAAAAAACAAAAAAGAAGTCACTGTTCACGAGCATGATACGAACAATAACATGCTTTTTTGTGTGGAAAGAACATGCTCACCGTGGAGTGTTCTGACAGTATACCAACTGCTAAGTTGTCGTTTTATGTGGATGGGGATGTGGCATTTACCTGCCTACGCCTATGGAATCCATGCACATGGTTTAATGTTGTAAGTAGAACATTTACTTATATTTCAAAACAATAATAGAATTACCTGAAGCTTCAATCTTTAACCGTGAATGACTTATACGGAGTATTTCGGAAGAAAACAAGTATGGCCCTTTTTATTAATTTGCACTATGTTTTAGCTGTCGTATATTATTATTATGTTTATTATTATACATATATGTTAATATTTACTCGGTGAACGAACTTTGATTAAGAATTTATTTGTGTTATCTTATTAAAATGCTTTTAATTAGACTGATTTGATCTGATTTGTTTAAGCCTTATCTAATCAGGTCTGAATTGGTTTGGTTTGATAGATGTCTCTTTTATGTATATTTTGTATCTGCAAAGTTTGATATGATCTGATTAAGCGTGGTCTGGTCTATTTAAGGTTGCTTTTTAATTGGACAATATATTTTTAGTTTAGTCTTGTCTGAATTCGTCTTGTCTGATTTGGTAAATGTTTGGTTTATGTTTATTTTACAACTGTTAAAGTCTGATCTAGTCTAATATGATCTGATTTGTATTGGTCTGGGACCCAAATTAGTCCAATGTAAGAATAATTAAGTCTCGTGTGGCATCGTATAGATCTGAAACCAAGCAATTAAAAATACCCTTTAATGTGTGGCTTCCTTTTTCTAGTTTTGATTTTTGTTTAAGACATGTTTATTTTGAAGGGTTAAGACTTAAGACATGCATTTATATTTTATTCAATCTTCTTACATTAGATTCACGGATTCAATTTTGAAATCCTCAACCGATTCCAACTAAAACTACAACTTTTACATCGTCACATTTGAAACAATTTGTACACACGAATAGAAGCAATTAAAGAATGATCCTAAATCACAATAGCCAATAAATGACCCTAAAGTGAGTAATAAACAATTTTAAAAGAAACAACGTAAAACTGGAGTTTGAGGCGTAGTTTTGGACCCGAACATGAAATCATTATTCTCGGGCGGACTCAGATTGAGATCCAAATCCAATTCCAACCCAAACACTCTCTTGCCACTAGTCGTCCTCTTCAACACCGGAACCACCGCCGCCTCCACCGCCGATTTCTCTAAACACCCATTCATCAACGCGGCCCGGTGTCGCCTCATGTGCCCGCCCAAGGCCTGGCCCATCGAGAACTCAAGCCCACAAATGGAGCAGCAATGCATCTTGGGCTTTTTCGACACACCCGCCATTTGCTCTCCTTCTGCCTGACCGAGGAGTTTGGGCCTCTTGTGGCTGGCCCGATGACCGCCCAACGCCTGGAACGAGGAGAACTTCTTGTAGCACGTGTTGCATTGAAAAGACGAAACATCATCGGACGACGGTGGTGGTGACGATGACGGTTTTCCGAAGTTCGCCAATAGGAAGAGGTAGTTAGCCATGGCTAGTGTCTCCAACTCTTCACTTTCCGTATTTCTTTTCATAACGAAAACTAAATTGTTAAAGTATCTGTCTCACACAAGAACGATTAGTGACTTGATAGAGATGAATGATGGTTTGGAATTGAATTTGGAGTTGGGTTTAGGTGGTAGGGGTATATATACATGACAGGGGTTGTGTTGGGTATGTACGTGGAAGAGTTGACTTCAACAATTGTGTGAAGCACGTCTGGCCTGTTCAATTTTGCACGTGGACAGTTTATCCATTTACTAATGCATTTTTTCCAGAAAGTCCAACATTCATAAAAGTAGTCTTCATTTCTCAGCCGTCTTGTTGTCTTTCTTTATGAATAAACTGAACTGAAAACACTTCAATTTGCATGAATAGTCAGTCGGTATTTATTATAGCGTAAGCGGGAAGCTACATTAACAAGCTAAGAAAATGATCAAAAAACATGGGGATACGTAGTGGTATTTTCACGGTCAACGTGGCTGAGTTTATGGATGTGTAATCATTTTTACTCCCTCTTCCCAATTATCTTTGAATGGGGTTTTTGAAAAAAAAATGTTTTAGACGGTAAAGTTTTTGCAAAGGGAAAGGAGTAGATTATTTTAGTAGGAACTGAAAAGAAAAGTTGAAAATAACTTTTAGTAGGAACGGAAAGGAGTAGATTATGGGAGTATTTGAAACTGATTCTGCTTCTGCTTCTTTTATAAGGAAAAAACAGAATCAGAATCAATTTTCAGAAGTTGGTCTCCCCCCACTTCTAAAAAAACTGATTCTATGATGAGTACTTTTGATTATATGGGCATGTTTGGCACAACTAGCTGAAAAGATACTTTTGTGAGCTTTTTAATAGTTGTTAGTTTTTAGTGACTGAAAAGATCTTAAAAATAAAAGGTGGTAGCTTTTTGATGAAAAGCTGACTGTTTGATTTAGTTCGGTTTGGTATACAAGCTGTTAGGATTAATTAATACTAAAAGTCACTATCTTTTCTTAGATGCTACTCCCGGTAGCATCTCAAAAAAGATCTTTTAATTTTTGAAAAGCTCTTAAATATTGTCATGCCAAACACACAACTAGAAGCTTTTAGGAACTTTTTGAACAGTACAAAAGCTAGAAGTCAGGGACTTATGCCCGCCAAACATAGCCTATGTCTACTCTTTGAAGGAGCAGAAACAATTCTAAGAATTAGATCCAAACACACTCTATACCAATTTACTTTATTTAAAATTTAGTATGTTTCCACATATAGATAATTCTTAAATAGAATCTAACGAGATTGGAAACATTCAGGGTCTGTTTGCAACAGCTTTTGCTTTTAAAAAAGTTTTTTTTTTAATGAAATGGGGAGAAATGATTAAATAAAAGTTGATAGTGTTTGAGAAAAACGTGATTTTGAAAAGTAAAAGTGAGTAATGTTTGATAAAATAAGTGCTTTTTGTGTAATAGAAAAAGTAAAAGCACTTTTGACGCGGAAGCCGAGAAAAATAAAAGTTGTAGTGTTTGGGAAAATAAGTGCTTTTTAAAGCCAAAGCTGAGAAGTGCTTTTTTAAAAGCAGTTGCAAACCAACCCTCAGTAGTCTAAGTGAAAAGACCCTTAGTTATCTTTGACTTTTTTAATTTGACCAATGTTATATGTATACGAAAAAATTGTATGGAACTCTTCTACGAAAATGAAATTTGACAGTGCCCAACAGAAGACCGCTATACACAAAGTTTGCCCTATTGATGTTGTAATTAGCAATTTGGTATTGCTGTCATGTACCTCCATCTCTTAAAACTTTGCCAAAGTTGACCGACACGGAGAATAATAAAGTAAAAACTATATGGTTGAAGTTTGTGCAGAAGAGAAAGAAATAACAAAAACCACAAAATAATTGATTAAAAGGAAAAATGACAAAGTTTTAAGAGATGAAGGAAGTATTATTTTAGTGAGTGAGGCGGTGACAAAAGCGGCAATAAGCAAGTACTCATTTTCACATTCATAAGATCAATCCAGCTTGAGGTACATACTTTTCATACACACACTTACACACTCGTGTCTGTGTATGATTTTTTTTGTCTATATACAGACACAACATATTTTCAAATACGTTGTGTCTGTATACAGTAAAAAAACCCTATACAGACACGAATGTGTAAGTGTGTAATTGTTCATAAGATTATTGCAAGACTAAGCTAATGATGTGACATCTTTTAGCAAGTACTATCGTACTATCGTATGATTGAATAATATAGAATATTTTACAAATCCACGTTGAAATTGCTGAATACACAATTAAAATATACACAAAGTTCAAAAATAGGACAAAGTATGTTTTATTCTTCAAATAGGACTTATGTAGTCCTACTAAAAGAATAAGTTGATTAAAATAAGAGTGAATAAGTCCTATTTTGAAAATAAAGCAAACAGAGACCTATTTATGAGTTTAATTAATGCTTGTTTTAGTCCTATTTAGGGAAGTTTTTCTAAAAAATATGAATCCAAATTATTTTATAATTATTGAAAAACCATATGTGATATGTTAGTGCTTGATCAATGAAAATGAGATTACTATATGTCATTGGAAGATTATTGGATATATACTCTAAGGTAGTGTTTATATGATTTTAACATTACGGAGTAAAAAATATAATATATAGAATTTGAAAATACAAGTATGTGTTTGTTATAGAATTCAAAGCATTACGTTTCAACAAATTTTAAGGTGTAAAATACGTCCAATTGGTTTTTATGTGTCAACTTTTTCTACACATACATGTGTTATTATTTTTTGAAACAAGTGTATCCAACAACTTTACACAAATAAATGAGATAAGGGTCAGATAGGGTCTCGAACTTGAAAAAAATGTCAAATAAGGCCATATTTAGGATGCTCTGTCCGGCCGACGCCATTTTGGGTGGTTCCCGGTAGAATTTTTTGATGAATTTTTTTGAGAATCTTATTCATTAAGTCTAGTTTACTCATATTAAATTTGAACTAAAACTTTAATCGGGAAGGCATTCAAATGAATTCTTGAAGATAACTGTACCGTTAAAAGCGCAGTTATCTTCATGAATTCATTTGAATGCCTTCACAATTGAATTATTAGTTTAAATTTGATATGAGTAAACTAGACTTAATGAATAAGATTCTCAAAAACTTTCATAAAAAAATTCCACCGGGAACCCCCCAAATGGCGTCGGCCGGACAGAGCATCCTAAATATGACCTTATTTGACATTTTTTTCAAGTTCGAGACCCTATCTGACCCTTATCCCCAAATAAATAAGTAGTAGTGCTAAGATACACTAATTTCGATGTGGGTCTTTAAAATTGGTTCCGTTCTTAATTGTTTTTTGAAAGTAGAAATAACATACGTGGTAAAAAAATCTTTTGTATGAGAAAACGATAACAATTAGAGTACTTAATTTAATTAATATTGATATCCCTGTATAAAAATAGAGAATTACATTAAAATACTACGGATAAAATGCTATTGTAAATAACTTTTTTATATATGTAAGTAATCAAACAAGGTAATTTATATATCATGTAAAAACAAATTAATTAATTTTTATAGGTATTTTTTATAGGGAAAAACGCATTTTCAATCCCTCAAATAGTACACACATTAAAATGTAGTACGCATGTTTTTGATTTTGTAAATGCATGTCACTGCTCAATGTCAAAATTGTTTTAAATGTAGTCAACGCTATCAAATCTGAATTAACACCATTAAATTTTATAATTGTAACACAATATTATTTTTGTAATGTGTCTGAAATTATAACTGTTTGGATATATTATCTCAGCCTGTTACTGTTCAGAAGCCCAAAGCACCACCCTGGTGCGGAGCCCAGTCGGCGAGGCTCGTTTAGGCCTACCCGGCCCATTTCGGCCCCATCAAGCCACTAGGATAGAAGTTAGGCTCATTAAAGTCCAACCGGCCCATTGGCCCATTAGAATAACCCTTACACCCCTCTCCCTTCTATAAATAGGGAGCTTGGATTCCTATTGAGGGGGCTTTTGGCTCTTCTCTCTGGAGAGCTAATCTCTCTTCCTCCCCCAACTTCACTGTATTACTTATTTATAGTCTAGAATAGAAGCTTGTTCAATCACCATTAATGGAGCTCAAGATTTGTACTATGTAAATGGTGAGGAGAGTCTAATGAAAAAGAGCGGGCTTGGACGTTAGCCTAAAAAGTCCCGTGGTTTTCTCCCTTTCGGGTTTCCACGTAAAAACAGAGCATTCATATACAGAGTATATTTATATCTATATTTACTATTTTCATGTTAGATTAAACTCAACAATAACCTAACGGTGTGAAAAGTTATAAAAGTTAACAGTGTTAGTCCAGAAGTGACGATGAAAATCACATTTACAAATTACAACTCCTCGGACAATTGAGGGATGACACTTATAAACTCAAAAAACACAGGGACACCATTTCAATATGAATATTATTTGAGGACTGAAAGTGTGAAATTTCCGTCTTTATATATAACTAAAAGAAAATATAAAAGAAAAAGACTTTACCTTTCCAAATGACCAAAATTTTCTTCTTCCAAAAAAAATTGACCAAAATTTTCGTGCCGCATGCGTGGCCGTGTGTGGGCCGGTGAAATTCATATCACCTGGGCCTCATGAAAAACACAAGAAGATTGAAAAAGGGTAATTCTAAACACACACACATTTTCTAACCACACTCACATAATTCATATAATTCCTACTATACCCTTACTACTAAACACACGGGACTTGTCTGGACTTTATGGAATTTCCACCGTAGAAGCTGTCTGAACTTTCCAGATCGAGGAACAACAAGAAGGAGAAAGGGGATAAACTCCGACGGTATCTCGCTCATGGCGGACTGACTGCCTCCAGAAGTGGAATGACTGCATCAATTTTATATTCTAAGCTTAGTTTGGATTGCATATGGTGCTCTGGATATTTCCTTTTTATGTTCTCTAGATTTATCAATATACGAGTAATCTGAAACTTAAAATTTTCAGATTTAGCAATCAGTGCACAGATTTCAGAAATCCAAACGAGTGAGCAATCAGTGCAGAGTTCAGAAATCCAGACACAACACTACCATATTACAACTCTTGTTACAAGTACTAATCTT